GTCCCGCAGCTGCCGCAAGGGCTGAGGAGCAGAGCCCGAGCCCGGCCCAAGCACAGGTTCTCTTCTGCGCCGATAACCAGAGCGAGCCCCATGCGACAGCCTGGAGCCGCTCCACCTGCCAGGCCCCATTGCCACACGGCCGAGGGAACGTGTTGGGGCGCTTTGTGCTGGCAGCGTGCCCCATCGGGACTCTTGACAGCCTCTGACACCGCGAGAGGGTTCCCTGGGCTGGGCTGGGCTCCCTCGGCCGGGTGAAATCCTCCTGTGCTGGCCAGGAGGGAGGGCAGCCCCCGCTGCCTCCGGGGCATGGGCCAGGGGATGCTGCTCCCATCCTCAGCATCCTTCCCACCCCAAACCCCGGCGCCCTGCCAGGGCCCCCCAGGGATGCTCAGGCATCCCCCCTTCCCAAGGCCCCCAGCATCCCCACCCTGTGCAGCCACTGCCCTGCCAGCCTGGTGCCCCCTCCCTGTCCCAGGGGGCTGGGACCCAGCACCCAAAGCGGGCTGATACCACGGGTGCTGAAGCTGGGCTTGCAGCCCTGGCTCTTGCCGCAGCCGTACTGTGGGTGCCACGTCCCCTCAGGACCCACGGCGCTATCACGTGGAGAGGGCCCAGGCGGGAGCAGGCGGCCGAGGAGCCGAGGCAGGATCCCGGTGCCGGGAGCAGCCTCTCCGCTGGCGCGGGGACCCCGGTGCTGGCCCCCGCAGCCGCCTCTTCCCACCGCCGCACACGGCCGCTCCCAAGGGCTGCAGGGTGGAGCAGACACAGCCCCAGCCCCAGGGGAAGGCCTAATCCTGCCTGCTTGTTCCCAAGCTCCAGATCACAGCACAGCCCGGGCAGCGCTGACATCCCGCAGCGTTTGCCCTCTCCATCCACCCTGGGGTGCGCTGCCCGGCCCCGTGAGCCCCCCCGGGCCCCTCTGCGGGAGCAGCCCGCAGGGAGGCTGCAGCAAGTGCCCCCCTCTGCGTGCTGCGGCGGGGGCTGCTGGCTGTGCCCACCCGGGGCCCTGCGTGACGGGTTTTCCTGTGGTCCACACGTGCCCTCAGACTGTGCCGAGCCCTGACCCGCTCTGCGGGCAGCGGATGCTCTGTGGTCCCCTCCACCGGGGCTGCTCTGCTCTCCTGTGCCAGCCTCGCAGATGCTCGGTTCTGAGACCAGCATCACCCCGAAGCTTCCTCTGTCCCTCTTCCTCCTCAGCCTTTATCCTCCCCAGTGTGTTTATGGGGAACAATCAGATCCCCCCCAGTCAGTGCTGGATGAAGGTACCCGAAACGCAGTGCAGGGGAGGCAGCCCCCTGACTGTGCCGGCAGGACGAGATGGGACGAGGGACTCCCCGGGTCACCCCCGGCGCTGGGCAGAGCTGGCAAAGCGACACCGGGTCCCCGGCCAGAGCACGCCGGTGCCCGCGCACCCCTCATCGCTCCCGCAGCGCGGCGGGCAGCAAACCCCGGGAAAGGGGCTCCCGGGGCCGAGGGCAGCAGGAG